ACCGGGCGTGTGTGCGTGCGTGCCCAAGATCCCAAGAGGAGAATGGAGGAGAAGGGATTGCGGCGTGGCCATCCCCCTGGGGGGTGATCTCTCGCTTTCTGTCTCTATGTCTCTCTGTCTGTCTGGCGAGCACATGCGCCCTATAGCAAAAACCTCTCAAAAATAAATAAATAAATAAATAAAATAAAGACCCTACTGGGGGGACCAGCAGTTAGCGTAATGGCTACGTCACTGGACTCCCACGTAGTTGACCGCGGTTCAAGTCCTGGACCTGGTGGCTTGATTTCTCACTTGCCCCTCCTCCCCGGTCAAATTTAAATAAATAAATGAAGTTAAATAAAATAATTCTTAAAAAAAATAAGACCCTACTGGGGCTGCTTTCTCTCATGAAGTAATAAGTAAATTGAATAAGTAAACAACGAGAATGGACTTGAACACAGGAAGTACTACTCGAGGTGAACACGGGCACCTCACCATGACGGAGGGACCAACAGGAGGCTAGCGTAGGAACCCTGCACATGCCCATAACAGTGTCGGAACAGAGGAAGCAGAAAACTACCAACGAGACGGAAAAATGAACCTATAATCAGTATCAGGTGGGAAAAACAGATTTTAAAAAATCAGTATAGATTTGACCAGGGGAGGCTGGCAGGTGGTGGGATGGTTCAGGGCGCTGGACTCCCACAGGGCTGACTGTGGTTCGAGTCCTGGACCTGGAGGCTTGCTTTCTCACTTTCTTTCTCTCTGTGTGTCTCTCTCTCTGGAAATATTAAAATAATAATAATAAATAAATAAAAATAATTTTTTTAAAAAAAGATTTGACCAAGGACCAGCAGATGGCATAATGGCTACGTCAGTGGACTCCCATGTAGTCGGATCACAGTTTGAGTCCTGGACTGGGTGGCTTACTCATGCAGGGAACGTGTGTGTGCTGCCCAAGATCCCGAGAAGAGAATAGAGGAGAAAGGATTGCGGCGTGGCCATACCCCCAGGGGTGATTACTCGTTCTCTGTCTCTCTGTCTCTGTCTTTCTGGTGAGTGCAAGCACCCTATTGCAAAAACCTCCCCAAAAACAGAAGACGCAACCCATAGGATTCACAAAAGTAACAGCAACGCAGCACTGTAGCAAGTGAGCAGCACGCATGTTTGCAAGTGCACGCAGAACAAAAGACGGCCTACTTCAGATTCAGAGCAAGGCTTGATACATTTCAAAGGAGTGAGATCACAGTGTATGTTCTCTAACCAGAAACAGACAGAATAACATATTGACCCGTGCCGTACTCTGAGAGGGAAAGCCCCCGACATCACTGTGAGAGCGCTCAGAGAGGGCCAGTGTTTTCCCTAGGGCTGCACAGCCCACGTCTCCTTCCCATCAGCCCGGAGATCCACACCCAGGACAAAGCTGCAATGGTGCCCCACTCACCACCACTGGCTGCCGAAAATACTCGTCCACTGCAGCACCTCGGAGGGCCGACAGGTCCACTCCGTGGAAGGAGGGCTGGTACCTGTGGAGAGCCCCGGCCCAAGGGCAAGGTCACCAGGCAGGAGAGGCAGGCGCGGTGGCCCGCCTCCTCTGCAGTGGGCCCGCGTCCAGTCCAGCCCGTCTTTCAAGTGCGATGAGATGAGGAAGAGGACGGGTGGGGCCACCCCCGGGGAAGGCAGCCATGGGGCCGGGCAGGACACACGGGCACACTCACCAGAAGTTGGCCTTGGTGAACTGCTCCATGTAGAGCTGCTCGTCCGTGAACGGCGCCAGGTGGACGTCGCCAATGGTGGGGAACATGTTTCCTGGGAGCGGAGCAGGGAGGGTGCTGGCGTCAGGGTGGCAGGCCCTGCAGGGGCCCCAAGACCCAGCCTCGGGGCTTTCCTGCCACTCATTCTTCCATCCACACGCTCGAGGGACGTGGCGGGACGG